ATAATTTGAGAATTACAACCAGAATGACATGTGGCGCTTCGCAAACAGTTGTAACTTTTAACCTTGAAGTTTTGGCTCTTTTCAATCCCTTGAAATCATCTGGCTAGCTCGCTATCCGGGCCAACTCCCTCCATATAATCAGGCCCTAAGTGTAACTTACCTTTAGTGGTGATGACTCAGGAGTGACATCAGGTGTGGGTAGACTCATTACTTGTTGGTCAGCGGGTCTCCATTTCAATAGTTCGTGATGTACGGTTGATTCGAATATCGTCTTTACACATTCACATTTCTTTTCCCAGACGTCTTCGAAGAACGTGTTGCCATTGGATATGACGAGATTTTGCAAACAATTGGTACCAGACCTCGCTAACTGCTCGTTATCTAAAGACATGTATTAAATGAACGAGCAAAGCAAGACATGGTGTTACAAAGCATTTACAGTCGAACCTGTAAGAAACTCTGATACTTCTTGTATACTAATGTACCTCAAAACAAACCAATCACAAACTCTCATACTTCAAACCAATCACAAACTCTGACACAACGAACCAATCACCAAGGCATATGCCAAGCACAAACACTTTGCGTAATCTCAAGCTTACCTTGTTTGACACACCACTCTAGATGGCCATACATATCATCAAGAAGAATTTCAGAAAGAATATAAAAATACTGAGTAAAAACATCGATGATAGCATATAGAGCGTGATTACAAGTTGTTGTCATCCATTCTGATTTCTATAAAGAAACATCGCACTTTTCAAAACATCCTCAGCTGATGTCTCATTTTATAACGAGGAAATACAACACCTTATACACAAACTTTATTCTATGTAAAGGAAACGACCTTCCCGCAGTTTAACACTACTCCCTCCTGATTTAAAGGCAAAAGCATTCTTTACAGGTGGGTAAATTTCACAAACGACTGTTTCAAACCTTCCATACTGGTACAAATCGTTTACACAAAATACAATCGGTGTGTGACAAGAGAATGCAAGAGGATAAGAATGGATAGAGAATGAAGTGAATACGAGTAGATATACACAATGAAGTGACTCTAGAATGAAAGTGGATAGAAGTGAATAAGAAATAGAGGAGGATATGATGGGATCATTGAACTAAAATACATGGAACGCTACATGAAGCAAATAATTGAAGCCAAATCTTACATCCAGACACGCGTGTTTAGTGTTTCGAGATTCTCTCGCGGAGTGAAAATTGATTGAACTACACACGCGTGTCTGGGTGTAAAATTTGGCTTAAAAAAATTACTACAGTTTTCTATTACAGGTAACGTTCCATGTATTTTAGTTCAATGGAGTGGATACACAACTGAATTGGATGAGTGAATGAGGAATGAAGGTGGATAGACGTGAACACATGAACTGAATATTATTCCATGTGGAACTGGATAGTCGTGTATGTAAGTTGACTTTTTGCGATATAATGTGTGTTTATGGCAATCATAGACAATAAGACCACAATAACGACATATTAAAAACTACGTGTTTTGAACCGTGGTCGATTACGGGAGAATAATGGACCGACAAAAATGTTTCTGAGCCAATCAAAGCGCGACATTTAGCCGGAAGTGACGCTTGCCATATATTAAAAGCACAATAATGACAGTTTTCTAACCTCCTGCCAATCTATCTGTCTGTCTGGTAGTTTCATTTTGTCGAAAATTCGAAACACGTCTTTAAACACGTCACGCCACCAATGATGGAGAAACGTGTTCCCGTATGTTTTCATGATTTCAAACATCACGGTTAGGCCTCTAGTTGATGGATGGAAAATAGCTAACATTCAAATTATACAATACATACTAATGTATACAATACATACAACTCAATATTTCCACCACACCTTGTTCTGACATCTAGTTTACATCGGTTGATGATACACGAAAGCTCAAAAAGGACTGGAAACCAGCCTTTCACCCAGATTCTGTCTTGCTCTGATATCCCAGCATCCTCTACTCCGTAGTCTTTAAACATCTGTTTATAAAAGAAAAGAAAACAGAAGCCATTGGAAAATGCTACACGAAAAAGCGATTGAAATAGATGATTTGAATTTGATTTGATCCAAAGTAGTTAGCTTTGATGTGATTTTGCGAAATTTTAAATCATTTCAAAGGTGAAAAGAAAGTAGATTTGCAATCGTCGTACCACAGGATTTTCGGGAACAAATTTGGCGCAATTTCGTATCAGTCTTATTGCTTCCATACTCGTGTCCGGGAAACTTGCGTTGCATGCGAATTCCGAGAAGCACTTGACGGCATCTTGGAGAGAGTCGATGGTCGCGGAGAAATATTTCTCAAAAATCGTGGCTAAAAGAGAAAATGGGGGATGTGAAATTTTTACACTGATAATCTTGTGGGATAAATGAATCTCTCAAAGCTTTGATTTAGAAGTGCCTTGAAACAGTAGAAAAACAGGGCAAGAAAAGTTAAAAAAAACTCTGCCTTTTGACTCCTAATTTGCATCAACGAAAAAATGCTTCATACATTTATTTCATTTCTCCATTAACTCACGTTTAATTTTCATTCATGCATCATGAGGCGAACATCCATCGACTTTATGGTAAATAAAAGTTTACCTTGAAAACTTATACAAATATGACTGAATAACCATGGAAAAGAACGAACACATAAAATTCTTGTTGCAAAATAAACGAAGTTCTCTGTCACATCCGAGAAACACATTTACTTAAACGATATTCAAATTCAATTTGAATTTAATTTAATAATATTTAACAGATGTCTAAATAGTCCAAGCTTGGAAACGGATTCACCATCATTTCTTCAAACATATGCAACCATTTTTATTTTAAAATTTTAAAATTTGCTCCGATACAAGAACCTTCCCCAAGAACACAACAGACAGGTCGGCCGTAAGATTAGAAGAAAAACCTCCTTCCTTAAACTACAAACCTGTTGTTTCAAAAGCGAGTTCCACGATTCCTTCATCATGATCGGACGCAGCCAAATGAAAAACGGAGATAAAATGGAACATAAATTATCTAAGATGGAGAAATACTATAGTTGGTAGAACATTGGAGATGAAGGCATTGATTATCTTGTTTTTATACTTCAGATTTGAGAGAAACTAGAACTGTGTTTTAAAATATCATCATAGTTCACAGTTGATCGTGTAGTTTGGTTGGTAGAACATTGGTTTGGATACTTGGGATTTGGGAACTGGAGATTTGGATACTTGGGATTTGGTATTTGGGAACAGTTGATTTGAGGTATTGGAGATTTGGGTAATTGGGATAAAGAATGTTTAGTGAATTATGGTCATGTTACATGTATAAAAATCTTATGTAAGATGCAATTTAATGTATACATGCAAACCTACCGATAGCATCACCATCCAGTTTCACTGATCCCGTGAAAACTCTAAACGTAATAAAACACAATGAAGAAGTTGAGATGAAGATATTCTGCTGAGAGAACATAACGTATGGACAGTGCACGAGTTCTTCAAAATTTTATTTTCATGTTTATGTTCAATGTTCTCTGGTTCACTTGAGTCTGAAGATGACTACCGCTAAGGAGGTCAAAACGTCAGTCAACAATAACAATAACAGTCTTTCTCAGGACTCTGCTAACATGCACAATGAACATGTCTACATAGAGAATCAACCATCGACTTTTCTTGCTGTTACAAGCCCCACTCTAGCTTAAAGACAATTTTAAAGATTCCTGGGAGGGGGGCAGGGGTGAAGCCAGAACGCTGAATGGGAGGGGTGAATATTCATATATTTAGTTTTGCTTGACATTATTTAATTTGAAAAGAAATTAGTTGGTCACAGCGGAATATATGACCATATATATGAATATTCACCTCTCCCCCTGCATTAACGTTCTAGCTTCGCCCTGGGGTGGGAGATAGGTCACAAAACACAATCCACATAGCTATCATTAAAGTAAACGTTACCTGTCCACTGCAACGACAACATTTTGTGCAGCGGTCTCCCCAATGGCTTCCTGTGAGCCAGCTGCTTTTCGAGTCAGCGGCAACAGGCATCCGACCTTCATAGAAATACAAGCAAAGAAAAGCACCCAACGTTAGTATTTGACATTTTTCTATGAGCGTCACAACAATGTTATAAGCAACCTGAGGTTATATCATAAGATGTCTTGTTGTTTGCGGTGAATGCTGTGGGTGAAGTAGTAACACCGCTGGACGCCGTGTGAAGGTATCGCGTTTTCACACCAGTACCGATAAGTTGAGCCAATTCAAGTTGGGAAATGCATTTCAATATCTAGAATGAAAACAATGACTTTAGGGAAACGTAAAAAGATGCGCCGAGCGGAACGAGCATTTGAGCAACGAAAATGAGTGTCCAACAAGACGAACATAAACGTTAAATACATACGTAGAAAATATCTTCAAATAAAAATATCTTGAGAAAAACTTCATTTTCTTATGCATATTTATTACAGATGTACATTTTGATACGATTCTCTGATGAAGGGTATGAAATACGGTCAACAAAGCACTTGGAAAAATGAAAGTTAAAGACTGTAGCAATATCGTGAAGTTTCCCACAGACAAGACCTAGACTTTTTCCTTTGATGAAAAAAACAATCGATCATATTTTCAGTCGTAGACACCAACCATAATATATAGAAGATAATTCTCTCTACCTCGAGAAAAGATTTCCCGATGTAATTACCATCCGTTTGAGCGATGGTACGAAGTGTCTTGATTGTCTCGATGTTCTTCGTTTTCATTTCATGAATATGCGTGCCACTGGTCGCAGTAAGTAAAGTGAACCTGGATAGCGCTTGTACGAAAGCATCTCTTTCCAACTACAATGTGAAAAGAGTTATTAGGAGTATCGAAAAATGAACTTAATGGTAAAGAATCTCCATTCATATTCCCTAACATCATTATAACTAACTGTAATCATTGAAAAACCTTTAAGAAAAGATTATTTCACATTCACATGCATCCTGATATATCCATACATGTACACAAACAGACAATTAATTCAAAGGTAAAGAAACATCTGTTTTTATTGTATACATATGAGTATCATCCAAACCTTGAACATATAACACGCAAAGAACACGACGTGTATGTAACTACGTAAATATATTCATAAATTTCAACAATTCAACATTCAACATATTTTTGAATATATATTTACGTCCGGGAAAGGGTCACCAGGGGATGAAAAGGTATGCAGAGACATTAATGTCGTTATTTCATACCCAAATATATTAAAATGAACAGAATGTTGTGTGTTTATCAACTTACAGGCAAGCTGAATATGCAAGATATTCGTATTGCACAGCGGATTCCATCAAGACAAAATGAAGCAACAGAAGAATAGTCGTTGTCTTGTAGATTGACGCTGAACGCGGCAAGAAACGGACTCCATGCAACCTTAAACACACAAAACAAAATGGTCAACAATGGGGACTGGGGCCGGTTGTAAGATGCGGATTTATCTTAAGTAGTAGATTATCTTAATAGAAAATCCAGTCAAATCATTCATTGGTCAGTTAAAATATTAGATTATCAAACAGATTTACTCTTCGTCATCGCAAACATTCATTACATAAAATCTAAGTCTTTTCTTTAAAAAGATGAAGATGAATGTCATCATGTTTTGAAACTGTCACTGTCCGTATAAGTTGACATCACAATTAACGCTTCGTTAATCAATCCTTACATACACCACAAACATCACCCTCCAGGCTCCACCCCCTTCTCGTACCTTGAACATTGTCTTCACGTGACCAATCTGTGTCGCCGTGACAAAATCCGTCTGAATATGACTCACGTCTTCCATTTGTGTTTTGGCGTTTTCCGCCATCTGCTCCATTTCCATAGAATACAACATACGACGATGTTTCTCACTTTGCAAATCTGTAAAGTGGAAGCACAATAAAAAATTTCTTTAGTTTCATGAAAATGCAATGAAGCTCTCTTAAAACCAACACCGAACACCACAATATCCATTATAAGCCCCTTTCTTACACCCATCTCAAGACAAACACCTCCATCTCAAGACCTTCACCTTCATCTCAGAGCTAGGACTTAACAGTTCGCAGTCAAGACCTTTATCTAGCATCTGTACAATTTTTTCATTTAGAACTTGATTCTCGTATTAATGTTCCAATACATACATGTAGCATCGTATCTACTGTTCACTTTTGGTGTATGTTTCATCTTGATTTCATTCTGTGCAATATCATCATAAATTGCTTCAAGATATTCAGATGGAAGATCTTTACTGTCATTTATACCACGATTCATTTGAATGTACTGCTCTTTCGTTATCTTCCGTTTAACCTGAAAGAAAATTTCACGTGATTACGATGTCGCATCTAAAGGCTAAATTTTCACGTGATTCCAATGAAGGCTCCATATCAAGGCCATGAAAATCTCGCGTGACCACAATGGAGTGACGTGATCTTAGACATAAAGTCACTTTTATAGAAAACCATTGCAAATAAAGTAAGTCTGTGTAACCTGTGAACTATGTAGATCAGTAGTCAACATGATGATAGAATAAGCCAGAACGTAGGCAGCGTCTGCACTAGCAAACACATCGTCACTAAAATACAAATGATAAATATAAAATGAACGGACCAGCATTCAATGCGAGATGTAAAACAACAGATAACAAGACACAAATCATATCCTTACTTTGGGTTCGTTTCACAGAACCTACTCGCAAACTTCTCCATGAGTCGATCGATCTTTTGCGCTTCACCGGGAAGCCGGAAGTTATGTAAGAACAATCGCAGAGCTTGCACAAGATTGGTACCAGTGAAATCCAACTGATCTATATAGGCGTACATTATCTCTCGTTCATATCTAAAAAGTATAGGAAGACACGAGGAACAGTTGAGGATATGAAGAGCAGTTGAGGACATGACGAATAATAGATCTAAGTCTACTATTGTTTGCTTATTTTAAACAGTAGCAAATCTTACTGAATTCTGTCAGTATTATTCACTGGATAGAGAAATTTTGAGCATTTAAAAATTGTTTTGTTTTTTATTAAAAAAAATAACCAAGACATTGAAGATAATGCTTAGTTTCAAACAGCTTTTGTCCTTTTACATGGAGTTTAATGCAACCTTAAACATATTTTAAACATTCTTGATTTTACGATTAAATTTCTGATTTACTATTTCATGTATCATGAGCAAACCATTCATGGGCTTCATGGCAAATTAACATAATCAACTTTTCTTGACCCAATTTTTGTTGAAATAAATACTTAAGATGAGAATCAAACGTCTTAACTTGAATTTCACGTGATTGTCACGCGAGGGAGATGTGTAAAAACATACTTACTGTCCTGCATCACCAATCAGCTCACCAATCATAGTTTAAAAACATAAAACGCAACACTGGGTCAAAATCCAAAGGAACATTTAATGTTTCTACAAATTCCTCAAAGATAGCGTGCAAATGTGACAAAATGAAAACTTTAGTGAAAGAAGACAACATCATGTGAAATGAAACATAAGGATTGCAAGGGATATAGATGGTCTAAAATGATCATCACCTTGTGTAGTGTATCATCAGTGTGTAAGAACTGAGCGACTTTGGTTGCTGTCTCGTCAAGGAGACCTTCAGATTGAAGGAACTTTACACCTTTTGATGGATTCTTGTTAAATCTTAAAGTAAATCGTAAAATTGAATAAAAGTACAGAAGATAAGCAAAATTGTTGACCAAACTTACAATTGAATTCCTTTTTCTTTCGTCTCCTTTTTTCCGTTTAAGACTCTCAAATTCTTCAGCATAATCAATGGCTTTTGTACTATTAAGAGACGACTGACTACCCCCCCTTTTTTGAGATTTTTAAATCACCGGGTTCCCCCCCGTTTTCATTCTCCTCGGTGCTTCCTTTTCGAGAAATTGTTGGTGCACCATCAACCAGGTCTGTCAGGAAATTTATATGGAAGAGATTAAACAGAAGTATTGAGGACTAACTATGATGATTTGGAGATCAATAAGGGATCGCGTGGATAATTAAGAGGTTAGCATAGATCATTAACAGATAGCCTAGATCATCGGGAAGATAGTATAGATTATTGAGAGATAGACTAGAACATTGAGAGTAGCATGGGTCAATAATGAGTAACTATAAACATTAAGATATAGCCTAGATCCACCGCGAGACCAGCAAGAGTAAAAAAGATAACTAAGGGATAGCTTAGATCCTGAGAGGTTAACTACAATTGTCGAACAACTAGTTACGATTAAGAACATTAAGGTGTGTATAAGAAAATGATGGAGTACCTTCGATAAATGGGGGATACAGAGTATAGAAAGATGGAATCTTAAAGGAGACAAAAATCTTCAGTGTAGCCGATATCAAAAGAGGGGTACAATGGATCATAAAGCGATAACTTATCGAAATGTATAACAATATTAAGTTTATATTCGCTACATGCGAGTTTCTTCAGTTTCATAAAGATGTTAAAACTCACCAAAATTATCGTCCACCTGAGAATCAGGTTTAAAGTAAAGATCCCTGCTCCATTCTACCATACATTTAAGAATAGAAACGAGACATTCCAGACCTTTGATACGAATACTGCGTTCTTGAACCTGGAAAAATCATATAAAAATAAGACGACATTGATACTATTCATATAAAAACGCGATAAAAAGATGTATTATAATCACAAAATAATAGAGACATGTTTTAGTCCTTTTCATGGTGATAGACTATGCTCCAGTTTTTCCATGTTGATAGACTATGTCCCAGTCCTTTTCATAGTAATAGACTACGTTCCAGTCCTTTTCGAGTGGCATAGATATGAACAAGAGAATGTAGAGAAGTAAACATTATGAAACATATTCATCAACTTACTGGTGTTGCTCCTAATTCAATAGCTTGACGTCCTTGGGCAAGTTTAGACAAATCATTGATCAATCTTTGAAAGATATTCGACAAAGCAAATTCACAGTTGTAATTTAAATATATATCAACGACCGTCTGTGCATCTGCAATAAAGGACACAAATGGACATTAATGGCTAATATGAATGGATATTAATGGATGACAAGAAGATAAAATCAAAAATTTAATTGTTGGTATATTGATAATTAGTAAGGGAAAGGTCACACCTCACCTCTTGTACACCCACGAAGAAAATTCGAACGAGAGGATTGTGAAGACTGAATATAGGATGGGATTTGGAAATAAAAGATGCTTAATTGTTGTACAGGGTTAAGCAAACAGAGGAGACATTTGGTAGAACTGGAGACAATGTTAGTGCAAGCTTTACACCAAAAGTTGACAGTTTGCACCAGCTAGAGAGTTCTCACTAAAGTCTTGAGGTTTGCATAAGCCAGTACAAACACAAAAAACATCTTTTAGTTCTTTTGTAAATAATAGTAATGAGAAACAGACTACTTCAAGAAAAAAGTTTAAAATTTTTCTCTAACATGTTTTCATGATTCATTTGCAAATTATCTTTGATTGATATAATTGATGTAGCTCAGATACGCACGTTTGTACAGGCTAATGCAAACACAGTTTAAGTTTTTATTAAGTAAATAGTGATGTCGGATGAATAGCTTTAGAACATTGAGTTTTGATGTCGTTAAACATTCACGGTGTACATTAAAAAAACACAATTGATTTTATTAAACTTTCTGATGATCAGTAAAAGACTCTCAATGAAAACAAAAGGTTTCCAAGGAAATAAATGATCATAAAGTTCCGAAATTTTCATAGCGTGACTAAACTTGAGAACTGACTACGCTACTTAACACAATCGCTTTCATAGAAAATTGATCGATGGTTTTTCAAATATTAGTTGTTTATATAAATACCTTGGTAGAAGCTTTCAAACTTTGGAGGTACTTGTCTTCTTTGGCATAAGATAAAACTTTAAGCAAAGTACAAATGATTAAACATGGTTTATTACATTGAAACAAGAAGGAAAAGTTCTCCCTCAAATAAAAATGAAAATAACAAACTGGAAACAGAAAACATTGAGTCACCGTACTTCATGTAAAAAAAATATAATATCTTTTAACAAAGGCTCCTTTGATGAGGTATAGGCTTCTCTGCACTAGGTTACATTAATTTCTCATTTGGCATTTTCCGTTTTTTGTTAAGTACTTTCAGTAACATATGTTAGTAAAGTTGTAAAGGTTACAAACGTCGGTATCTTTGGTTAAAATGGTTGAACGAGAAAACAGATTTTGTTCGAGTGGTCTCCTTTGATTTTGGTAAAACCTTTGATTCAGTTTCAAAGAACGTCGTAGTTTAAAATTTTTCTTATTTAATCTGACTCCGGTTACTTGGTGCCTCTTGCGTTTTTAATGATCACATAAGTTTTTATGCTTCGTGCAATTACTTAGCGACATTTTTTTCTCTTAGCAATTCAATGAACGCTTTTTTAAATAGACTATTGTGTTGTAATTTTTCTTTAGAAACTGAAATATTTTAGTATGCATTTCAAAAAAATAACGAGTGAAAACCAACTATTTACTTGCAGTACTTGGCCTCTTATATTGACAACAAAAAATTGAAAGATTTAATCACAAAATCCTAGTTTAAACATGATTTTTTTTTTTATCTTCAAATTGTAAAAATAGACCACCGCGATCCTTCATAATAACCTCATACTCGTGCAAACTAAATTAAAAACTTGTCTACTCTACTTACGAAATATAAAACCTGGATCATATTCTTCCATTCTCCTCTTTTGCATTTGCCTCTTTCCATATTTGTAGAATGTAGTCAGTCTTCATAGTCCAACATAAATGTTCATACATGTTATACAATGTTCTTTTAATAACTTTTTATAATTCCATTTGTGGTGTAACCTCAATATTTAACCAATACAGTACATGTTAAAAGGAAATGACATCACAGTGTATAACTCTCAACTAGATTGTTAATCATGTGACCAATGTACTTTTTGTTCTGCGAGATAAGAGAGCACATGTTATGTTATATTAAAATATATTCTCAATTGTTATGTTGTTAAACGGTTGTATGATTCAATCTGCTTATCGGTAAAAGCCTCTTCTAACAGTACAGACGTAATGGACATCCTTTCTGAACATATTTCCAACTCTTAATTTAACTCTTTTAGTCGCGAATAGTAAAATCCTTCACATTACGAAAGTTTTAACAAGACTTGTTAATTTAAAGTAAATGGTTTGAACCCGGGAGTATCGTTACATGTTTGTAAATGTAGATCGTCCTGGTTGGTATAGTCCTGAGAAGGACAGTTTTTGTTGTTGTTCACTGACGTTTCGACAACCTTAGCGGTAGTCATCTTCAGAGTCAAACTGAGCCATGTTGACTGACGTTTCGACAACCTTAGCGGTAGTCATTTTCAGAGTCAAACTGAGCCATGTTGACTGACGTTTCGACAACCTTAGCGGTAGTCATCTTCAGAGTCAAACTGAGCCTTGTTGACTGACGTTTCGACAAGGCTGTTCTCGGGACTGGTATAGTCCATCAACATTATGACAAATTTTATTTTAAAAAATGAAAATAGAAAGTGAACTTTATCATTCTTCAATATTTTAATCAAAAAAATTTTACTCAAAAAAATTCAATTCTTAAGCTCAAATGAACTTGTGTCAAAATGGTAAAAGCTTTATTCATTAATTTTCATCTCAGTTATTGACATGACGTCATGAAGATGTTTTTACATACGGGAATTGTTGACAGTATAAAACATTTTCTGTCTTTAAGGTCATATGTACATAATAAACGTACAAAAATGATCTCTCACATTTTTCAATAAATGATCATAAAACCCAATGACATGACATGACATCATGATGGTGTTTTATAAATGTGAATTTTTAACATCATACAAAACTTGTTTCTACAATATTGACATATGCGTATGGTAAATTTTATTTACAGTTTTTGAAAGAATGTTCAAAGAAAGTCACTCTATAATTTAAACAAAATATTCTTCATCTACAACAACACCATATTGTCAAATGACTCAAAATGAATGAGTTCTCGACGTTTAATATATAATATTATAAAACAACCGGAAGAATTTGAGAAAATTCATTGCTCGAGAGCTATGATCTATAACAGGACAGATGCACGGAATTGAGGTGACAGAAAATTTCTTGCTTTTAAATGACAAACGAACGGAGAATTTATTTAAATACTTACCTGAATATATCCTGAATGGGCAAATAAAGAAAACAAGAATGCCCAGTTGAAGCATTGGACGTATTTGAGCAAAAAGAAAAGAAAAAATCCTGTTTTCAAACGTTGATTTGCGCCTGCGGCTCGTGGCCACTCAGTTTTTATCACAATGACGTCATACCCGTGTATCTATAACTGTATAGACAACGGTTAAATGTTATCTATTTGTTAAATAAAAATAACCAAATTATCTAACCATACATTTTTATTAAAAAGTAAATCATCAACATGAAATTTGTTCAGAGATACAATACATAATAATAAGTTTGACAGAGCATCTTACAGTAGTAGTCAAATCTAGAGGATGCCCTGTTTAAATGACAATTCATTTATGAAGAATACAAGTAGAATCTTAGAAAGGAATAAACAAATATTCATGATCAATTAGTATAGAAGCGCTCTTTTTAAATACAAGTCATTTGTGTTATAAAAAGCAATTATACATCGTTTCAGATTATTGCAAAACATAGATAATGTTTTACATTCTTTAATAACAGGAGGTAAGACATTCCAAGAAATAGTACCGATAAATTTAAAAGATCTTTTGCAAATTTGGTCCAAATTTATTTTTGGTAAATATAGATAATTTCTTAAAGATTGCCTGGTAGAATAAGTAAACTTCTTCTGTAGAAAACTATAGTAGGTGGAAACAAGCAATCATCCTTACGACCAACAACATCTATGTGCATTTTTCTCAACAGGTTTTTTAATTTACTATTAAAGTTTGAGTTGATATATTTATTCAGGAACATTAAGTTTTAAAAACTGAATTATGCCATTTGAACTGTCAACCATAGCTAAAGTTCCTGTATTGGAATGCATAGTTATATGAGACATAGAATAACGTTCGTTAAATTCAGCGCATATTTTACCACTCTTTAAATCTACAGCAACCAATGACCAATTAAACACTCCAATGCAATAAGATTTGTGTATGATAAGGTCGGAGGACAATAAATATTTACTGACATCATGCAAAATCTCATTCACATCACCATTCTCGTGAAAATTTATTACATAAATGACCATGAAATTGATGTCTTTGCAAAATGCTATGACTGCTTGTTTACTATCACTTATACAGCAGTTGAACTCTAGATCATTTACAGCTTCTTGTTCTTTAACAAATTTTTCAATGACAGCTGTTATGGGTATTTCTGCAGTATGCCAAGGTTTCAAGTAAAGTTCATTGTTGTTATTTCCCCATTTCCATAATGTGTATTCTGTTTCGTTTATAGTTAAAATAACAGAATTATCAGGTGATACAGCTGCTGCTTTAATTTCTGAACTATCGACAGGAAGTCTTTTGTTGTATTGTATCTCACCCTTGGTAATTCTAACAACTTGAACAAACTTTTCTTCGTCAATACAAACTAAGACATCACCAAATGTTAAGAATTCTTCAGGTTTAAATCCAATGTTAACATGCTTTGCTTGAGTAGAAGCTACAAAATTTTCAGACGAAGTTGATATCTTCATAAGATGATCAGAACCATCCCATATCCACAGTAAACCATCTGACCACCAACATCCTAATGCATCCTTCAGTTGCATCGGTACAGTTTTAATAATAGTGCAACGTTCAATGCTCCAAATATGAATGTTGACGTGGTCACCAACAGCGAAAGTGGCCAAAAAAGATCCGTCCGGTGAAAAACAACAACATCCAATATAGAATTCCTCGAAGATAAATGAAGGTCTCCAAAGATGATCAGTTTTGAAAATTGTAAGCTTGGAAAAAAACGGCACAACGTAAAATTCCTTAAACGAGATGGGATGGACATTTTCAAGAGTCCTACGAACACATGGACACCAAACATATGGTAAACAAAACTTGATTTCTCTTTGATCGTTGTATTTTATCAACTGAGTGATTTCAGAAAGCTTTCCATTCTGGCTTGTATGATAAAAAATACAATCACGATAATGTTGGCTTATCATTGAATGTAAACGTACTGGATATTCCTTTTTACTTGAAAAAATATCGATTGCCTTTGGGAATAGAAAAACATACGCAGTCTTCAGGAATTCTGCAACATAGAACTCTGAATATTTATCGGTGCATTGTAGTTTTTGGTAATCGAAAACGCAGCGTCGATCGATTCTTTGAAATTGAAAGTTCATTGGATGATGACAAATCAAAGAAGAATTAACGACATTCTGACTGTAAACATAACAAACGTCCATTGTTAACGTCCCACAACTTTACTTCAGTAGATCCATCACTAGTTACTTCCTAGGTGAGAGCAAATGTTACATAACATCAATTATCCATCTTCCATCATCATCGAGTGCAGTGCCAAGAGTGCATCGTTCTGTAAATTCAGGAAGTTCAAAAATAGATATTTGACCATTTTCATATCCTACAGCAAGAAGTTCTTCATTTGACGACACACAAAGAGATGTAACGTTAGCACGCAAGGGGACAGTCAAATGATGATGGTTTGTTAAATATGTTGTGTCAAAATCTTCAAACCAAACAAACTTTTCTTGTTTCATTAAATCCCTTACCAATAATCTTTTTTCGTTACTGCCATCAATTCTGTTTGCAATAATTTGAAAATAAAATAAGCTTTCATCAAACATATACGACAACTTACTCATCATAGAGGAATGAAATTGTAGTTCCTCAAGTACATCTTTTTTCAAGAAAGTTCGTAGTTTCTTAATAATTTCAAGCAATTCATCCCTAATGGTATCCAAGTTAATGTTTTTCACCCACATTAACCTCGCACAAACCACTTTGACATCTACTGCCCAGCTAAAGTCAACATTTTCGTCACATTTTGACATATGATAGATTCCATTCTTCAAAGCATATTTAATCATAGCGGTGTTCATCTGATCCTTAAAAATGTCCATTGACTTGATGTGTTTAAACACTTTCTCACAAGCATGCCATAACAACTTATGTCCATTTTTTGGATCAACTGTAAACTCATGCTCTTCATAACCGTCTGATTTTAACCAATCAATGAGAGACTTGTGATACGCGGTCAAATAATCATCGTAAATTGGAAAAAATGGAGATATCACTTCATGTATTTTATTACGATCTTTAAACTTCATGTCATCAGAAAAACCTAAACATTGGAAAAGAAAAGACAAAGGCAAAATACTTTGATAAGTCACCAACACTTCAAGACATTCCGTAAAGTTTTCATCGGAAATAACGGTTTTGTGTGTTGATAAAATTATTCCTTTCAATAATTTACTTAATCTCTTGAATTGTTCTGTGTAAAATTTACTCAATCCAGTAGGAACCAATTGTTCAATATTCTCGAAAGTTAGCTCAGTTTCTTTATTTAAATTCTCTTGTGCGTGGTAAGCGTACAGAAACGAACCCTCGCATTTTTTAACTAATAAATTGAAAGCACCATAACTATTTTTTTTTGCCAGATGACTCAACTCATGTCTCAAATACTTGTGCAGGTCTTTTTCGTTGTTTTCATCACGAGGACTAGTTGTAATTTCCACAGGACTCATATCTTTCAACTCATTTTGAACAGGAAGTTCTGGACGACTGGTGATGAAGATTTTAATCCATTTAGGCAATCGGTCGAACTCTTTTGCAATCAATTCCAACAATTCACTTTTACCATCAACTTGGCTTTCATCTAAGGCATCAATAACCAAAAGCATTGGTTCATGATCTTCCAATGAATGCAATGGATTATTTAATAAAACAATGAATTCATCGGTGATCGATTCTTCTGAATGCTTTCTCTGTAATTCTTCATTCAGTTTACTTTTAAAATTTGATATTGTATCACACATGCTACTGGCCAATGATTCTATCAATATTCGAGGATTTCTATAATCTGATATATTATATCTGCAGAAATGACAAGCAGCAAGTTTCTTCTTTTCAGAATATCGTCGACACACCTCAGCAGCAAACACACTTTTACCAACGCCAGGACCGGCAATCAAAATCATAACATTAGAAGCATCTTCACTTCTATCGTTAAACCAAGTGTCGAGTTTTTCGAATAACCTTTGTCTAGTGCCTTGTAAGTATTTCTTGTTAAGATCTTTTATAAGACCGTTGAAATTGCACTTTCCAAGCATTTCGACACCGGAATATGTTTTGTCCTGTAACATTTTTTTCACTCCTGCTACTTCAGCTTTTGTTTTCTTTACATCCTCATTTAAGTTCGTAACGTTTGTTGCAATCTCTACAACATTTCTATTCATTACTTTCACATCTTCTTTGATTTTTTTAGTGACATCGAGTAACTTCTCTTCTGTTTCATACCATTCTTTTAACATTTCAATATAATTTGCCTCATCGGAACTAAGGGGAGCTTTCTTTAATTCATCTATTTCAGTTTGTTGAATACCCAGACCAGCCAATGCTTTTGAAATTTCCTGCCACAAGTTCTCAAACTCCTTATCATCTACACTAGTTGTAGTTATGTGACCATACACTTTGTTTCGATAAAACTTTATTCTTGCAATATTTGCTGAGATTGAAGTATCTGAAGAGGAAGGAAGATTATTCCATCCACTATGTGGAGCTGTTAGACCACAAATGTTACGCAATAAGACAGTCAATAATGTGATGTCAAATTTTTCAATGTCAGGGTCACCAATTGACGGGTAAAGAAGATCCCATTGCTCATTCTTGATGACTTTAAATTTCTTAGATGTTAGTGTCTTCTTTGTAGAGGGATCTTTAAGTTTACCTGCTAAACTTGATGGCTTTAATAAAGATTGCAATGTATGTGTCAAGGCTTGTTTTCCTTTATTTATCAAAAGTTTACTTAAACGAGATCCGTTTTCCTCAAACTTCAGTTTTTGTGGTGGTGAAGCCATTTTTCAAGCTAGAAATGAAAAACGAGTAAGTATTGCAAGTAATTTTACAAATAATTCTTTTCTTTTTTTTTTCGTTATAAAATATGTTCACTCTTCTCAGTAACAAGACCCAATAATTTGCCGTACATTATGGTATTCAGCATCCAGTAACATAAACGACTTGATACAATGAAAAATATTTCTTCTTATTTATTTCGTTCTTATTTCAAACTTATTGCTCGATTTTTTTGATGCTTTACTGTCACGAATTTGCACGATGGACAGTAAATATTTGTGCAATAGAACTTAAGTTGACTGAAAACAAATTCAAAATAGTCTTGTTATAACTACCATGATATTTCTTTAATCACTTCATCCGACACACTTGTTGTACATACATAAAAACTGTAGTTTTGGATTGTGTTGTTTTGTAATTTTTTTCTTAGCACTTTGATAAGACTACATAGTTATTATCACCTACGATTCTGTGACAAATACAACTAATGTATGTTAATTATTTGATGTCTGAAAGTTTCATATCATGTAAATATTTATTTTTTCTATTCATCGATCAAGGTTTGACAAAGAAATTTAAAAAATATCATTCTCTTGCTTTCAGCCAAACACTTATCATCGCAAACCTCATGTGGATAGATATCTGTATATGTACTTGAAAGAGACATTAATAAGTTGTAATCACTCAGAAAGTTTCTGTCTTTAAAGCATCAGTTTGGGAAAATAGTATCATTGGAAGTTTTGAGAAAATACTAGGATTTGGATAGGAGTGTAAGTTGGATCGCTTTGTATTTAGCCTCTGGAAATTGGATGAAAGAACAAAGGCATTCATCCCAAGTAAACGAAATATACTAAGTATACTTGAAGGATTATTTGATCCTTTAGGTATTACAAGTCCAGTTGTAGTTTATGCGAAGTTATTGTTTCAGGAGCTGTGTATTGAGAAAGCTGAATGGGAAAGAAAAAACGTTGGGAGAGATGGATAGAAGATTTAGAGAGAGTCAGGGATTTAGTTGTGGCGAGATGTGTGTATGGTAATTTACTTGTTAAGGTAAAGTGTTACTTGAATGGGTACGCAGATGCCAACTAAAAGACATACTGTACGGTCGTATATTTTGTGACAGAGCGAAACGGTGCCTACCACGTAGAGTTGCTTACGTTGAAAAAATGATAGCGCCAATAAAATTGCAGACAATTCCCAGACTAGAACTGATGTCGGCAGGAATATTAGCACAGTTGATGACACAGTAAAGTTGGCCTTAGAAGGTTACGTTCAATTTAATGATACAAACTATTGGTTGGACAGTATGACTGCATTGTGCTGGATCGGTGATAGGGGAGAATGGAAACAATTTGTGCGCCATAGAGTTAACGAGATTTTAAGATTGAGGAGGATAAATAATTGGAAACATTGTCCGGGTGTAGGCAACCCTGCGGACTTAGGTTCATGGGGATTTACAGTATCACAATTAAAGGAAAGTGAACTTTGGTGGAAGGGACCGATTTGGTTGGCAAGTCCCCAGTGTGTATGGCCAATACCAAAAGAGGTAAAAACTACAGAGGAAAGTCTTGCAGAAGTCGGGAAAACAGTATTGGCTAATACACAGGTGGTAGATAAACATTGTGTGATAAAATTTGGCAATTTTAGTAATCAAGAGAGACTAATACGGGTCATGGCTATCTTTGGGCGATTTGTAGACAATTTGAATGCAAGAGTTAAACACGGACATAGAGGACTGAAACATTGGAAGTATCAGAGCTGATAATGGCAGAACGGGCGTTGATTAGAATTGCTCAGAAAGAGTTAATGTAACGTAGTGACTATGAGCAAATGGTTAGACAATTAAAGATAGTAGAGCGCGATGAGATAGTTAGATGTAAAGGAAGACTTGGCAATTCAGATTTAGAGCTAGAAGCTACAGAAACAATTTTATTGCCTATGGATCATCACTTAACCAAATTAATTATTAAAAATTGCCACAGGAAGGTTCATCATAGTGGAGTAAGAGCGACCTTTGTTCAGCTACGAGGCAAATATTGGGTACTACTAGATAGACAGTTCGTGGAGAAGGTGATAGGAAATTGCATGATTTGTAGAAGGCATCAGGAGAGGCTTATAAAACACCAATCCAAGCGGATTTACCAGATTTTAGAGTTCAGTATTTACCACCCTTTTCTAAAGTAGAAGTAGATTATGCTGGGCCATTGTTTGCAAGGACAGATGGTAAAAGTATACATCGCATTATTTTCCTGCTGTGTTACAAGAGCAAATTATCAGGATTTAATTGATAGTTTAAGTGCCCGTTGTTTTTTTAATTGCATGCGAAGATTTACTGCTAGAATGGGAGCACCCTTGCTAATAGTTTCGGACAACGCCAAAACATTTAAAGCAACTAAGAAAGCGTTGAAGGGGATTTATGGAATGAAGGATATAAAATCATATTTGGAAGGTAGTCGGTTGATATGGAAGTTTAATTCGGCGAGGACACCCTAGTGGGGTGGATTTTTTTAAAAGAATGGTAGCATTGGTGAAAGGTTGTCTAAGGAAGGTGTTGAGTAACGCTAAATTGAAAAGAAAGAACAAGAAAGAACATAAACAACATTAGTCGAGGTACAAGGTACGTTAAACTCTAGACCATTGACTTATGTATATGAAGATGGAGTGAATGTAGATGTACCGACTCCTGCACATCCTATGTTTAGAAGAAAATTAACATCTATTCCAGACGAAGGAATTCTGCATACAATTATTGACGATGATGCAGGAGTGGTAAAGCATAGTTTTAGGTATTTAGCGAGATTGAGAAAGCATTTTTGGTGAAGGTGGAGGAAGGAATACTTAACAAGTTTAAGGAGTGTCATAAGGTTGGCAAAGTTAAGGCTAGTTTGTGTCCTAAAGTAGGTGATATAGTTCTTGTGTTTGAGGAAAGTTTGAAAAGAGGATTTTGGAAAATAGCGAGAATCGAGAGACTAATCAAGGGAAAAGTTAATATAGTCAGAGGAGAGGAAGTCAAACTTGTTAGCAAGGTAAGGCCACTGCACATAAGCAGGCCTCTTCAGAAACTGTATCCACTAGAGATGGATGCAAAGAAATGTAAAGAAAATTCAACGTCCTACATGTAGAAAATACAATCATGCTATTCTTTCTCCTCATACTTTTGAACAGGTTTTGTTTTCCTTTACCATGCAGCTTATTGGCAATAATTAGAAAGTTGGAATATAAATTTAGATATGATTTCTCATGCATGTTTTGTCATACTTTATCGAGATGCCGCTTTAGCTAATTTGTTATGTCTGTAGTGAAATTCTAAACTATCGCTTACTTTTTCTAAAATTACTTTCGTTTTAGAAGTAAGACGACCGTGTGAACAAAATTGTGCTTGCTCTAGTTATTTACATGTCACATACTCAACTAAGGGATGAGAGATTTAATATAAACAACGCGACCACATACATATCAGTTAAAAATGGTGATCAAAATTCATACCTTATTGTAACATCAATCTTTTATCCATGTATGTTTTGTCACATAAACACTTTTAAAAAGCGAACGAAGATGAAGAGTGAGTCAGGATCTCCTTCAACAAACAGTATTAAAACACATTAATGACGTCTATGTAGAACATTCTAGTCATATAACTAAGTATACATCAATGACTAAAAACAATTGTTATAGAAATAAAAATACATAAATAAGAAGCTCATGCAGAGTACATAATAACATTGAGATTAGTCAAAATCTAAACGACTACTGCTACATCTTATAAAGTTTCACAAGTTTTAACTCAGGAATAGAGAATCACCTATCTAAAACAGGATTTGAATGCCAATGATTAAGACACGATTTTCGAAACTGTAAAGGGATTTTTCCCCTTTATTACTCAAAAATTCCATACATGTATATTCTTGCATAAGTCAGTTCATATTATAAAAAAATCTTTGTTATTAAATAAAACTTTGTAAATCATGAATACATTTCAAACAACAGCTTCAAGAAATTGTAAATTTTTATATGTTCAATCAAAAACACTGTAGATACAACAGTAAAGGTAGCAATAAAAGTAAACCATAAAACTGTTATACAAACATGATCAAAAGTATAATTTTAAAAGGTCACTGTGTTTCATGAATCAACATTTCACAAAAATAGATTCGGTCGCGCTCTTCTTCTGTGTTTAAATTTATTTTTCCTGTGTTTAACATTTGCTTACTTTTCAAATTTTCTTACTTTTGAAAAAATGGTTTGTTGTTGTATACGACTATCAACATTTTGCTAGACACACAGAGATTAGTCAAAAGGGGTGTCAGCAAAGAAGGGAGGTGATGCATGATTGGACATGCTATCCTCCCTACATAAATTTTCACAGATTCCATTTTTTCCATAGAAAAGTATGCTATTTCTCCTTTCCCATACCTTTGAACAGGTTTTGCTTTCCTTTACCATGCAGCTTATTTTCAATAGTTAGATAGTTGGTATATGAATTTAGATATGATTTCTCATGCATGTTTAGTCATACTTTATCGAGATGTTGCTTTAGCAAATTTGTTATGTCGGTAATGTAGTTCTAAAATATCGCTTAATTTTTCTAAAATTACTTTCGTTTTAGAAGTAAGACGACCGTGTGAACAAAATTATGCTTGCTTTAGTTCTTTACATGTCACATAATCAACAAACGGATGAGAGATTTAATATCAAGAACGCGACCACATACATATGAGATTAAAATGATGATGAAAGTTCATACCTTATTGTAATATCAATCTTTTATCCTTGTGAGTTTTGTCACATAAACACATTTGAATAACGAACGAAGATGAAGAGTGCGTCAGGATCTCCTTCAACAAACAGTATTAAAACACATTAATGACGTCTATGTAGAACATTCTAGTTATATAACTGAGTATACATCACTGACTAAAAACAATTGTTATAGAAATAAAAATACATAAATAAGAACCTCATGCAGAGTACATAATAACGGTGAGATTGGACAGATTCCAAAGGACTGCTGCTATATCTTATAAAGTTTCACAAGTTTTAACTCAGGAATAGATAATCACTTATGTAAGACAAGACTTGAATGTCAATGACTAGGACACGATTTTTGAAACTGTTAATGGATTTTTTCCCTTAATTAATCAAAAATTCCATACATGTATATTCTTGCATAAGTCAGTTCATATTACAAAAAATCTTTGTTATTAAATAAAACTTTGTAAATCATGAGTACATTTTTAACATCAGCTACAAAAAATTGTAATTATTTATATGTTTAATAAAGGACACTGTAGATACAACAGTAAAGGATGCAATAAAAGTAAACCTTAAAAATGTTAAACAAACACGATTAAAAGCAAATTTTAAAAGCTCACTGTGTTGCATGAATCAACATTTCACAAAAATAGATTCGGTCACGTTCTTCCTTTGTTTGTAAATACATTCTTCCTATGTTTAACATTTGCTTATTTTTCAAATTTTCTTACCTTTAAAAGAAATGGTTTGTTGTATTTAACTATCAACATTATGCTAGACACACAGAGATTAGTCAAAAGTGGCGTCAGCAAAGAAGGGAGGTGATGCATGATTGGACATGCTATACTTCCTACATAACTTTTCACGGATTCTCATTTTTTCCATAGACAAGTATAAAGTAGTTGTCATAAATTTTGTTGAGCTCATTTTGTTAGAAAAAAAT